ATTTACCCAGATTTTCCATATCCAGAATTCCCTTGGTTTGTGTTATCTTTATTGCCTCTATTTCAGTCTTCAAGTCTTGAACTGCTTGTTTCACCTGTTTGATTGTTTTTTTCTTGGTATTCTTGGGTTTCTTTGAAAAATTTACTAATTTCTTCCATTTTTTTGTTTGTCTTTTCCTCCATTTCTTTAAGGAAGTTTTTCGTTTTCTTTTTAAAGGTCTCCATCATTTTCACAATGTTTAAAGTTGTTTTCTTCTGCTTATTCTGGGTTAGGATGATCAAGTCTTCCTGTTGTGTGACCACTGAGTTCTGGTGTTGCCATGCTGCTTTTTAGATTGTAAAATTAATTCTTGCATTAGTGCCTACCCATCTCTTCCTTCAAATGAGGCTGGCAGTATCTTTGAACCTTGTTACAATTCTTACAATGGCTGTCTGAACGTTTGGAAATTTATCTTGGTCTGCTTTATACTGTCAATGTCTCAGGAAGCCTCTGAGATCTCTCTAAGCCTGCTTTCTTGGTCTTCTCTCCTAGTTCGCTCCCTTGGTCCTCTCTCTTGGTCCCCTCAGTGTTTTAGCAAGCTCTTGATCACCTCAGTATTGTAGCAAGCTCTTAGTCCCCTCAGTACTATAGCAGGCTCTTAAGTTCCCTCATTATTGGAGCAAGCTGTATTTCAGAGTTCCACCAAGGTTGCAGGAGGATAGGTGAGTTTGGGGGTGGGGTGGAACCCATAGCTTGGAGCATCTGGTCAATGGGGTTGAGTTTGGGGGGAGCCTACCTGCAGGAAGGTCTCCTGCTGTTTGGCTAGAAAAGCCAAGAGAGTTGGGGGAGGGGTCCCTAAATATGGCATCTGATCTACTATAGCTGAACTTACAAGTGGTTGAGAGCTCTCCTACATGGGCACTGGAAATGAAATTGGGTCCTTTGCGAGAGTACATACTCCAACCATTGACCCATCTCTCCAGCCCCAACTTTCACCTAAAATGTGGAGATTATATCCATTTTCTGGGTTTAATTGTAGAAATAATTCAAAGAGTTTTGAAAACTTTAGAACATCATAACCTATAGATAATAAAAGTTATCACAGCTCGAGCCCAAGATTCAGTTTTCCACATTTACCCCTCTTCTTTGGTGCAGGTGAGTCTTAAAATTGATGGAAACTTAAATCTGATAAATGCTGACAGAGTGGCTTTCTCTCTAATGTTTTCCTACTTATATGGAAGAACATGAGGCTACAAACATCCTCATAATCCTGTGAAACAATTAACAACTAGCCTTGGCTGTCCTGGAACTCATTCTGTAGCCCAGACTGGCAACAAATTTATAGGGATCTGTTTGCCTCCGCCTCCCAAGTGCTGGGATTAAAGGTGTGAGCCACCACCTTCCAACTTCAGCTATGTGAAAACAACTGGGTGAGGCAACCTTTACTGCTTAGCTAGTCAGTCCTAAGGTTGAGTTCTAGAACAATCTGAGAGGAAGTGCAAATAGGCCTTTCCTCCCACACATACCCCTATGAACCCAAAAGAAATCTGTGTGATGTGTAAAAGACTGTGTCCACAATAAGAAAATATATGGGCATTTTTTCCTTTGACTTCTCAGAACATCACTTTTATCCTTACACTTGGCCACATCACATAGAAATGTTCTAAATATTATACAAAAATAAAATACACTGGCAAATGTGGAAAAGGCTATGCAAAACTATACTTTAGCCTGGCTTTTTAATATGAGTTATAAGAATTCATGTTGTTAAATGAAATCACAAATAAGAACATACAGGGGTCTGGAGAGATAGCTCAGTGGTTAAAGAGCACCTGATGTTCCTGCAGCAGACCTGGGTTCGATTCCTAGCACTCACATGCAGAATAACAACTGTCTGTGACTTCAATACCAGGGAATCTGACCTTATCTTATGGCTTCATAGGCACCAGGTACAAACATGGTACACACACATACATGCAGGTATTCATACATACACATAAAATTAAATAAAAAATAAAAACAAATTTAAAACTATGCCATTTAAAAAAACAGTCCAGCTAGATTGAGGTGGTCCCTCAAATGAACTCATATTCTAGTTATATGGTCTTGGTGATGGGAAGATTCCCATCCCTTTGTCTTCTGTGACATGAACACGTTATCAGTAAAGGCTGTCCCAGAGTGCCTTTTGAGTTGAAATATCTATGGAATTGACTGATAGCTTGCTGGTTACCCATGGGGTCTGCCAAAACTATTGAAAATAGAAAATGTATGAAAAATAAAAACCATCATGCTACCAGGAAGATAGTTCATTAACAATCTCCTCTTTAATCTCACCCTCCTTTCTATAAAACTTACAGATGTCATAAAAATAAACTAAGATCACGTACTTTCTGCACCTCAGAGGACCAGGTGCTCTGTAAGCTAACTGTCAATTGTGGTAGTGGTAAGTAGGGAAAAAAGAAAGGGTAAAAAAAATATGATAAAGAACTTGGAAAGAGAAAGTGGCCAAGATCACGGGCAATTGGAAGTCAGAAGCAAGGTAAAAGAACAGAGAACGTTTACAAATTAGCAGGTGAGATGAATTCAACATGAACTACTCAAGAAGAGACCCAGAGTTTTCTTGACAATTCCACTTTGCCTTGGTCAGTCTGCCAGATAGAGAGCCTTTCTTCCAGAAAGGAACAAGAGACTGTGCTTTGCTGTCAGCCATTATTTCTCAGGGGATGAATGAGGCTATTACCCAGAAAAGACCTACGGTTATCATATCATCTTCCTCCCCATCAAATATTCACTGAGCATCCTCTGAATGCCTGGCTTCTGGAGACATTAAAGTCACGTCCTTAAGTTGTGAGAAATTGTATTTTGTCTCCAGGCAATTCTGGGAAAGGATGTTGGCGAGTCACACACTTTAGAAATTCTAGACTCTTCCTGCTGATACCAGAACAGCCTACTAACCATCAAAAATATGATCTCTAAATAAATGAGAGAGGTATTTATGCTTTATTAAGTAAAATTTAAAATACACATGACTACGGCTAGGGATGTAACTCTACTTTTTGGAGCCTAGCATGCACAAAGCCTGAATTTTAATCCAGGAACCACATCAACCAGTATGGTGGTATACAATTGTAATCCCAAAAGGGAGGCAGAATTGGGAGTTCATGGTCATTGTTGGTTATATAGTGAGTTTGGGGCTAGTAGCCCGAGCTCCTGTCTAAATAAAATAGGATGAAAAGATCAAAAAAATTTAGGAAGATCACTTTATGAACCTCTTACCCAAGAAACTGCATTCTCTGGTAAATGTCACCAAAGTGAGATGGGTCTATCGATTCTGACTCCTGTCCTTGGCTCTTCAGAAAAGGGGAAGCAATAACCAGACAGTGACCCCTGGCAATCAAGAGCCAAGTAGTTCCAAGAAAAGCAGACTGATCTTCTTCCACTTGCTTAAAGATGACCTTTTCCTCATGATGAACAAGGAGTTTTTGTTAAGGATACATTACTGTCTTCAGTAATTCAAGTTATTGATAAAGCCCACAGTCTAATATTTAACACATAGAAAACATCAGAAAGCAAACAGTATAAAAATTAAAACTATTAGTCCACAACCCTGGTGCCTAAGATACTATGTTCATATTTGACTGTCTTCCCAGACTTTCTATAATCTTTCATAAACAGAATGGCACCATGTAATTATTTTTATATTCTTTATTTAAAAAAACCTGAGTAGTGTGATGTTGGATACCTTTTAATTGCCAAACATGCTTCCATATTACTATTGTTAGTGACTGCAGAATGTCCTTCATTGTGAAAGGACACTTTTACTAGAGTTTCTCAACCAGAGGCCACAATGTTCACCCTTAAAAATACATTTAGAAAGGAAGAAGACATTTATGGATGATTTGACAATTGTTCACTGGCTTGGAGAGGTGGTACCGCAGTTAGGAGCACTTGCTGTTCTTGCTGACAGTATGATTTGGTTCCCAGCACCCACATGGCGGTTGACAACTGTCTGAAATGCCAGTCCCAGGAGACAAATCCCTCTTCTGTGCACATGCATGTGATACACACACATATGTGTGGGCAAAGTACTCCCACACATAAAACTAGGAAAGTATTTTAAAAGAGCCAGGGACAATATACCAAGGTACGCAATGAGACGTTGTCTAGGTACCAGAAAATATCATCTCAACAAAATTGCCTTAGAACAGGCCTGTGCTGGGAGACACTGCTCACTTACAGTTTGGATTTCTTAATTGATGGCAGCCATATTCATACCTATGACTTGGGCCTCACCTTAGTTTGGTAGTGTCTATTCCAGTGAAGGTCTGTTTAAGCAACAGTTACATATGCTTAAAACTTGCCAGCTACCCATGCCGGAGAAGACACCTTTCATCTTACCAACAGACGACGCCGTAAAGGAGAATAAAGAGAGGCCGCAGGGCCAGTTTCACCTCTCAGAATTAATAAGACCTTATCGTTTCATTTCTGGGAATCTCAAGTTCATTTTTTGTAAAACAGAAATCACACACATTTTGCTCATCTTGCAAGCTCTTTTGTGGGGGAAAACGAACATAAGAAAACCATCTATTATAGACAAGAGACTATTTCTAGTTTATTTTTATTTACTTTGTGTGTGTGCATGTGTACTCTGAGTGTGGAGGTCAAATGACAGCTTATAAGAACAGTTTCTCTGCCTGAGGACAATATACATGAATCAGGAGGTGTGGCAAAACCCAGTGACACAGTGTACGTAGGTGACCTGAGGAATGGAGCCCAGTGTAGCAGCCTTGGTCCTGGGATACTGGGAAGTGATGAGAATGGTCTGCACGTGGTGAAACTTTTCTCTCTTTTTCTTCCCTAAAATGTTTGGAGGTCAGTGGTCAAATCTACGATGCACTGCCAGGCCCTGGTTTCAAACCAGAGGAAAGGGAACAGGTCTGTCCGTCTGTACTGAAACATCCTCTGTTACACGTGGATTGCCAACTACAAAAACTGTTTCCTCCCCCGCCCCCCCCCTTTAGGAAAGGGCGTCTCCTGGGAGTCTGTGCTAGCGTGGACAATTGCCGACTGTTTGTGGGAGGAATCCCCAAAACCAAAAAGAGGGAAGAAATCTTATCAGAGATGAAAAAGGTCACAGAAGGAGTTGTTGATGTCATCGTCTACCCCAGCGCCGCAGATAAAACCAAAAACCGGGGATTTGCCTTTGTGGAATATGAGAGTCACCGCGCAGCCGCCATGGCAAGGAGGAGGCTGCTGCCAGGTAAGCGTCCTTCCAGCTTACCTGAATTGTAATGTAGATACCTTACAAACAACCTGGTCATGACCCCAGGTTAGAACCACTGATCTAGAGTGGCATTATAGTCCACTCTTATGAAAACTACAAGAGCCACCAGATTTGGGGACAACGAAACTCTGGATTTACTTTGTCCTTGTACAGTTTTTCTTGATTGTGCTTTTTTTTAAGTGCTGTTGATTGAACAGAGTGAGCTTTCTAGGCCAACGTTCTACCACTCGGTTATGTCCTAGCCCTGCTTATGTGCTTTGTAAATTAGCAAACGAGGCATCAGATATCGTGACATTTTCAGAGTGTCTTATTAAATTCCCCTTCTTTTCCTTTACATCCTCTGGTCCCCGACATAAGCTTCCCCTAGACTTTTGCCCTCTCTCATGCCACGTGTGTCTTCTGCCCTCCCCAGCCTCCTCAGAACTCTTAATAAAAAAGAAATTGTTCTCTTTTTTAGGTTTTCAAACTTTATGCACATTTATACACATTTACAGACACATGCATACACATTCCGAACTAGGATATGTACGAGAGAGAAAACACAGTTTGTTTCTTTCTGAGTTGGATTCCCCCTGTTTAATAGATTGTTTTCCAGATTGTATCTCTGTTGCTGTGATAAAATCGTGTTCAAAACCAACTGGGGAGGAACGGGTTCATTTGGCCCAGAGGTTGCACACAGTCCATCAAAGGCAGGACCCTGGAGGTGGAAATGGAAATGGGGATCTCAGGGGGAACTTTGTTTACTAGCCTGCTTGCTAACTCATGTCCAGTTATATATCCTTTTTATATAACCTAGGACCACATGCCGAGGGGTAACACCCCCACCCACAGGGGGCTAGGCTAACGTGATAGAGACAGTTTCATAATTGAGATACCCTCTTCCCAGATGTCTCTAAGTCTCTGACAAGCGACCTCTTAATGCTCCTCAGGGTCAGACACTGTCTGAGCCCTGAATCCACTCTTAGCTCTTCTCCCCTTTTATTATCTCCCCTTAAAAACTACCCCCACCTTATAAAAGCTGTCCTGAGAGTCCAACGTGCCCACCGCTTCCTCACTTCTTCTCCATTTCAAACCACATCCTACTTCTCCTTACATCCAGTCATTATGGTAAGCCACTCATCACGCACAAGTCTCTTCTGTCCAGCTCTTGCATTATTTGAATGTCTTAAAATCAATAATAATCTTTTTTAGTGGTCCTAGCCATTTAAGACCTTGACGGTCAGTTCAATTTAAAAGGCCATCAGTGTGAGCTGAGATGATGTCGTGATTTCTAAATAATTAATCGTTCTTCTGATCATTGTCAACAGGAAGAATTCAGCTGTGGGGACATCCTATTGCAGTAGACTGGGCAGAGCCAGAAGTCGAAGTTGATGAAGACACGATGTCTTCAGTGAAAATCCTGTACGTAAGGAACCTTATGCTGTCTACCTCGGAAGAGATGATTGAGAAAGAATTCAACAGTATTAAGCCAGGTAGGACCCATGTACAACTATGTCTTCAAAATGTACTTTTAAAGCACTTGGGCCAGAGGTCATTAGCCAAGATGTTAAAGAGAACAGCTTGTATTTAGCCCCTTCTCCTAAGTGGTTGCATATTGCCCAATTATTTCTCCAGTTTGGGATCAGAAAGAGACATATAGTCCTACAGCATTTAGGAATATTATGATTTATGTTTACCTGTGTGTTATTTAATGAATACACATAACCTCTGCTAACCTACATTCTGTGAGTTCTTCTTCCTCTGATTAGCTCCTCTGTCCCCAGACCCTCAGACTAAGAACTAAGTAAATATTTACTACATTAGTGATGCCTGCCTCTAACTGGAGGTCTCACCAACACAAGGTTTCCCAACCTCTTTGTGACTGACATTTTGGAACAAATCCTCCTTGGTGATAAGAATCAGTCTGGTAGATTTCAAGGTCCATTCCGATCACATACCAGCATTAGCAACCTACCCCAGATAACAACCCAATGCATCTCTAGCCATTTCCAGCAGTATGTCCAGGAACATTCTCAGCCACCTCAGCCTGTGTTTATTATAGAAACATCTTCCCACAACTGAGAATGTCTTGGGCTTCTGGCAAGTTCTATAGGGTGCTGACAAGCGTGGGCTGTGGTGCTGTTATGTTAAGTCTCTGACAGTCTTTGCATTCTCAGGGTGTCTGTTTCTAACTGTAAGTGGACATGATGTTACATGTATAAAAGGATGATAAGCTTATGATTTGCTCTGCAGATAATTGGCAGGAATACCAATTTTTTTCCCCTTTTAATGGTTTCTCAAACATTTATCTTCCTTCAGCCTCAAGAACTCTGCCTTCCCTGACATTTAGTATCATGGTGTGGCTATATACCAACAGCTGTGAATCCATACCTAATACAGAAACTGCAAAAAAAAAAAATCCACTAGAATTAGAGTGGGCATGTTCACATCATATGCCGTTTATTCAAACTCTTAATGACCCTGTCGCGGAGGTTCCTTCACAGCATCGATTATTTTCTACACACAAAAATCAGAGCCCAGAGTAGTTAAATAGTCACACGGCTAGCAGCTGGCAGGCTCCAGATTTAACAGCTTTATGAGCCACATTCCATGCACTCATTCCTGCAGCTGCTGCTGCTTCGGTAGCTCCAACATGCCGTGCGCTGCGGAGGACATAGCAGACATGAGCTGTGTGGGGAAGGAATTTAGAGAAAGTGATAGCTAAGTCATCCTGCTCTCGGAATGCAGGGAAAAGTCGTGTTTAAGAGAAGTCCCATCTAGATGAGTGCTGAAAGCCAATGGAGTTGTGTAGGCCTAGGAACGGGTGTGTGTGTGTGTGTGTGTGTGTGTGTGTGTGTGTTTCACCCATCCTAGGTTATGTTTTGTTTTTTCAGAGTGAATAATATTTTCCCATCTAATTAAAATATTGCTTTTGTTTTGAAAGGAGGAAAAATGAGGTACTACCAAAAAACTGATTCTTTTTATAGTGAGCAGTTATTGGTCCAGTCTGCACACTTATGACAGCTATGCCTAGACACTGGTGCCCTAGAAGCTGTAAGAAAATGATGAACGCCAACTTCTTCCTTGTCTCCCTCTTCCTCTCTCCTCCTCCATCTCCTCCCAAGTCCCTAACCACTACCCCTTCCAGCATAAATGTATTAGCCTTTTTTATCGTCAGCCTAAAGAATTCCCTCGATTCCAAGGCACTTCTTGGGTCAGCGGCACAACCCTCAGGGTTCTAGAACAATGTGTATGATGTTAATATTATCCTGCTTCACCAACAGGAACAGTTAGCTGATATCTGTCCTATGACGAAAAGAAAAATAAAGTCACGAATTTCTTCTCCAGTGCAAGGATCTAGTATATTGAGGCTATATTAGAAAATTTGCAGAAAGAGAAAAGTAATATTAAATTTTTATTTTTAAAGTTTAGGTCTTTTGGAAGAATGTGAATATCCCCTGGAAATCTGACTCTGTATATATATTTTTCGAACCCTGACTGCCCTGGGGAAAATGCTACATCCATACTCTGGAAAACAAATGAAAATTGCCACAAAAACCCTGGGCCATCAATATTTTGTCCCCGTGTAGCCTGGGGTGTCTGCTGTGGTTCTGAATATAGTCATTCTATGAAATCTGATTCCTTCAACTGTTCAGCAGTAACAGACTCACCTGGAGGGCTGCTAAAAACACAGCCTGCTTACCCCATCTGGCTAAGTCCACATGTCTGTCTTTCTTAAGTTCCCAGGTGAAGCTAATGCTACTGGGTTGGGGACCACGCCTTGAGTCTGTTTTTCTAATTTCTGTGTTCAGATCCCAGATCTAGGTCTTTGCTGATAGACCACCATGAGAAAGGATCACAAGCACTAAGGAGGAGTGTGTTAAAGTGAGGTGTGCGGCCAATGCTATTACACAGATGCTTGTCTATGACCGTGCAACCCTCAATGTGCTGGTTCTTCTTTGGTCTCTAAGTATGGCTAGGCCTGGTTAGTTCTTAGATGAGAGGAATCCACATTGCGTTATTTGAACCCCTGCCTTCTAATTTACTGTGTCCAGATGTTCACAAATGAAGCTTTCCATAAAGAGAGGTGTCTGAATATTACCACTCCCAAACAGGCATAATTATTAGAATATTAGCAAGAATTTCAGAGCACCCAAATTCGTTATCAATGTAAATACTACTGGACTAACATGAGTGCTGGGAGCATATGGAAATGGACTCAAAATACTTTGGCACAGTGTGTGTTTACTGAGAGACTAGCTCTAGTATCCTTGGCACTAGGCAAGAGGTAAGTGAAGGTGATATTTTTTGCAGCTAAAGCTGCCTTCCCCCGCCCCTTGGGAAACTATAGAGCAGGGAGCAGAGTGGAGTGAAGGGACAGAGGCCATCCTGGTTAACTCCTTACTTCTCATTTACCAAGACGAGTCATGGAAAGGACCGTTGTCATCGCTCCATCTAACACAAAAGGAATAAAGAGACTGACTCGAAAGTTCAGTTTAATCATATACCCTGTGCTTCATGGGCTCACGTGGCTTTATTTAATTTTCTCTGTCTAGCCAGATAATTTTGCTCTGTATAATGATTATCATAAGAAGCCAAGGACTGACTACTAAGGGAAGAGAGAAGCTAAGCACTGCCATGTTTGAAAACTTAGATTACTGCCACCCATTGTTCCAAAGGAAGGTAATTCACAGTCATTGAACCGTGTGGCAGAGTGAAGACTCTAAATGCTTTAGCAGCGTTGAATCTGAGAGAACTAAACTTGGATAGGGAGAGGATTTTCTCCTCTTCCTCTTCATCCTGGGAATAGGATGACATCACATTGACTCTGTGAACTATGGGTAATGAAGAAAATCTAAAGGCTTAAAAGACTTAAAACCCATGCTAATGTAAATTGAAGGATAACCAGCATGCTAAAGCGGTAGTGAAACAAGTTTCCACTTACCCAAAAACTAAAGAAAAAAGCTTGCTTCGAAAACCTAGTTATCAACTACCATTAAAATATAGTGTCAACCATCCTGGTATAGCTCCCGTTTTTCCACACGTTACAGTCAACATGCACATAAAAACAGGGTATGTTGCTGTCTTGATGCCTTTATACAATGACCTAAATTGAAATGGCTAATGTTTATAAAACTGTGCCAATTAAAATGTTTTCATTTTTGGGACTGGAGAGATGGTTCGGGGGTAAAAGCTTGCACTGCTCCTGCAGAGGAGCCCAATTCAGTCCCCAGCATCCTTGCCAGCTGGCTTACAACTGCCTCTGGCCTGAGCTCCCTGGGATCTACCACCCTCTTCTGACCTCCACAGGCACCTGTACTCATGTGAACACAACTACATAAACACATACACACATATGCATACAATGAAAATAGAATAAATATTTGAAATATTTACATCCTTCCCAACACCTCTCCATCCCTGTAATAACCATTCTTAGCAGTCTGAGCTCCACCCTTCCAGGTATCTCTGGATGTAGGTATACTTGAATTTGTGTTTATTTCTATGTGGGCTGAAATACTTGGAACAGATTCTCATATTTTATCCTGTTATAAATTTTAGAAACAGACAATAGGGTTTGGATCCTTCCAAGTGAGTACATGGATGTCGACTCTGGTCTCTTTCAAAACTAAGTGGAGATTGTATAAATGTATCATATTTAATCCTTTCTGAGAAAATGGACCTTGTTTTATTTTGCTGTTTCTCCAGTGGTATTACTGGCATCTTTATAGTAAATCCTTATGTATGTGCCTTTCTTGAGGATTTTTTTTTTAAATTTTCGAGACAGGGTTTCTCCATAGCTTTTTGGTTCTTGTCCTGGAACTAGCTCTTGTAGACCAGGCTGGCCTCGAACTCACAGAGATCTGCCTGCCTCTGCCTCCCGAGTGCTGGGATTAAAGGCATGCACCACCACCGCCCAGCTGTATGTGCTTTTTTTTTAAATAAAGGTATTAATTAAGGGTATAGGACATTAATTCTAGACCTTAGCTGTGTGTTCTGTGAATTAATTATAAATCCTTTTTTGTCAAAATCATAGCTAACTAATATTTACATAAAAATAAAGTAAAATTAATTAAACATACCATATTGATAAAGTCTCCCCCAATTCTAAAGTTCTTTTATAGAAAATAAAATAGGGTATTTTCGGGGGCAACATGAATATAAGATTTCAAATAGTAGTAAGTTAGTCTTCACCTCAGTTTTCCACAGGGTCTAGAATTAGACTCCATCGAAATCATGATCACTTACCAGCAAAAGAACCTGAGAAAAGCCATCGAACACTGTTCTTTATGTCATTGTGGAAATAAAGAAAATAGTACTAACTAAATTATACAGGATACATCACAGATAGATACTACATCAGGTCGCTATGACATTGCCCATCCGCATGCCCAGAGCTTCTCTCTCTTCCTAGCAGATGTGGATGGATGCTCTAGCACAGGATTTGGGATCAGGCATTTCATACAACCACACTAACCCAGACAAGGAGGCAAAGTTTACACTCCTGGGGTGAAACTGACCAATAGGGATAGGCTGGGGAATCATTCTTTCTCTCATTTCCATGAATTATTGCACAGCAATGTTTCTTCCACAACAGAGTCTGGGGAAGACATCAGCAGCCAGTGGATACACCTGCCTCTCCTCTCCGAACATGCAGTAACATCTGCATGCAGTAGTTCCTGTTCAGAAACGCATCACCTTGCTCTAGGTCCACTTACATTTTCTTACACCTATACCTTGTTTTGAACCTCCCAGATTAACAAAGTGTTTGGGGTACCAGCCTCTTAGACCTCTCAGGGTTCAGAGAGAATACTATGGCAAGCAAGGGGCTTAGCAAGATCTGAAGGTGAAATGATTTCTCCACTATGTGTTTTTCCACATCAGTTTTGTTATTGTTCTGTTTCTATTCTAATTTTCCCGTCCTACTTCTAATTCCTCCTAGCTTCTTCTAGCTTCTTCCTTTATTCTAAAAAACTCTTCTTCTTCAGGAGTATTGAAGCAATAAAGAAATTACTCTCATTGGTAAGATATACATTGTCACAGCAAGACATAAGGAGCTGAGCTGTTTACCATGGCAACACAAGGATCCAACACCATAGAAGCAAGACCATACCAGATTGGGGCACAGTGCCCAATGACAACTTTGAGACCCAGATCCATTGTTAGTAGATTGGCAAATGAAGAATTGGCATGCTTTTCTTAGTAACCTTGGTTGGACATTTGTGACTCTGACCTTGTAAGTAGCTGTAAGGTTTCAAACTTATGATCCATTTAAACAAGTCTTTAGTCTGGTTTGAATTTGCTAATTTGAACTGAGCCAAATGGGTGCAGTTAGCCTGAGCAAAAGAACAAGGCAGGTTGTTAAGTGTCCGCAATTCTTGTAGGACAAATAGATCCAGGTATAAAGCATGTCTCAGTATATATTCTATGTATCAAAACTATACAGCTAAATGAAAAGTCATTCTTCTGACCACCCACAGATATATATGCCCAGGAGATGGAATATTTTCATGAGATAACCACATAAGCACTGGGGAAACACCCAAAGCTGTTCATGGGGAAAAGTGAAGTGGCACATGAGAGAAATTACAGATACAGGCAACCAGTTCTCAGAGTCAGTGGTCCTGTAAGCCTTGCTAAACACAGTTATCTGCATCAGAGATATGTGTTGATGCCTGAATTATCAGTTGCCCTATGCTGTATACTTCCGCAGCCTCCAACACCAGATAAAGCAGTATTTTGAAGTAAATAAGTTGAATATATGTGTACAAGATGACCAATAACTGAGTTCATGTCAATTTAATAACACTTTACCTTTATCGAGCATTATTTATTACCTTTTATATTTCATAATATGCAAAAGATGCCATTCTTGCCCTTCAATGCTGTATAATATAGGAATTAGAGTATATAATTTATAATTATTTCTAATGAATCAGATTTTAAGTATTTTAATGAGAAGCAAAAGTTAATGTTGACTATACAGAATTTTAAACCTTGACATACAAAGGGGTCTCACAGGGTGCTCACACACTTGGAAGCTAATCACATAACTGTCTCAAGTTTGCTAACGGTGCTGCCGGCATTTTATCTGCAGGAGCTGTGGAGCGGGTGAAGAAGATCCGGGACTACGCTTTCGTGCATTTCAGTACCCGAGAAGATGCAGTTGAAGCTATGAAAGCTTTAAATGGCAAGGTAATGCAGGAGAAAATAAAATGCTTACCGATTCCAGCCCAGCTTGGTATGGACATGCTATACCAAAGAGTAATTTAAGGAGTCCATCATACCCCAGCTTTGTCCATTGCTGACAGTGGTCTTGGGGATGTGCAGAAGAGAAATAACAGCTAAAGATACAAAGGAAAAAGAGGTGACTAAGTGGCAAATCCTAATTCAATTTTTTTCTGACTTGGACAAGTCATTAGTCCTCAGCTTTCTTAGAAGAAGGAATTAAAGTTTGCTTCCCCTGTCCTTGTTAGTATTCTATTGCTGTGAGGAAGCATCATGACCAAGGCAACTCTTCACAAAGAAAGCATTTAATTGGAATCTTGTTTATAGTTTCAGAGGGGAGTCCATTATCATCATGGCAAGGAACAAGCAGGGGGCAGGCAAGCATGGTCTTGGTAAAGCAGCTGAGAGTTTTGCATCTTGATCTGAGAGAGAGAGAGAGGGCCTGATGTGGACTTTAAAAACCTCAAAGCCACTCCCAGTGACACACCTCCTCCACCAAAGCCACACCTTCCAATCCTTCTAAATAGTTATCAACTGAGACTAAACATGAAAGCCTGGAAGCTTTTGGGGGGCATTCTCGTTCAAACAACGTTCCAATTATCTCTAATTATTACACTTTATTACCAGTAACTGATGATGGTTGGTGAAAAAGAAAATGTCAAGATAGCTGTCATTCTTTCCTCAATATTTGATCTTCCGAATACTGGAGGCTTAGTATGCGTCTCCTTGCAAAGAGTGGGGTCTGGGAGAAAATCACCTTCTGTATTCCTAGTGTTCATTTATTTATAGAAACCTATGTAGTATTTACAACAGTCCAATAAGCACTGAAACCTGTCTAGGGGCCATTGATCTGCTAGTTGTGTCCAGGACACAAACTAATCAAAGAAAAACTGTTTGTCAAAGAGCTGAGAGTCTAGAAAACAGGGCCACAGACACCTCTGCAAAGCAGTCAGTTCAATGTTATTAGAAAACATTTAAAAGTAGAAAATTCAAATAAAGAAATGGGTCGTTAGACATTCAGAAAACCACATAGATGAGGAGATGCTGTGCAAAAGAACCTATGAAACTTGGATATACTTTGAATAGGCAAATTATAGCTAGACAAATCTGTCCTCACAGCAGAACTTGGGTAGATCCAGAGAAAATCTGAGAAGAGAAAATTTGGTGAGAGCAAAATGCCTAAGAGACTATTATGCCCCTTGAGGCTTCTCTCAGACAAGGTTCTGGTAGATGATGTTCGGCTAGGAACTCACTCCAGAAATGTGAGAAAAGGGGATTCAAAAACACAAGGTCAGATGCTAGAGCTGGCAGGATTCTGGCAATAAAGGCACAAGAGAGGGAGCGGGAGAGTTAGTAGAATACTGAATTGAGAAGAACTGTGGAGAGCAGGGCCCTTTGAGAGGGGCATTGATCTAGAATCATGCCACTCTGAGGCTTTATCTGAAATGTCTTTGGTCAAGAATACAGTGGGCCCAAGATGACCTCTGATGGAGGGCACCAGGAAAACACAACCTAAATTCACTGTTCATACCCAGAGTTTCTTGTTGGCCAAATCCCATGACAATGCAGTGGCCCAGGAGCCCTGAAGAGAACCTTATGTGGAGCAGAGTGCGGGCTGGATATTGGTGGTGATTGGATCTGGAGGACAAGGGCGAGGCTTCTTAGCACAGATTCCTTCAAACACAAGGAAGCCTGGGGCATGTGCAGCCTCAGGGACCCAGCAATATCTTAAATCCCCTAAGGAGGGGCTGGAGAAATGGCTCAGTGGTTAAGAACACTGACTGCTCTTCCAGAGGTCCTGAGTTCAATTCCCAGTAACCACATGGTGGGTCATAGCCATCTGTAATGAGAACTAGTGCCCTCTTCTGGTGTGCAAGCATATAGACAGACAGAATACTATATACATAATAAATAAGTAAATAAATAAATCTTTAAAAAAAAAACCCTAAGGAAGGAAGTGGCAACTCTGAAGTATTTTTTTTTAAAAGAAGAGGACTAAAAACACTATAAAGTAAAATCAATTTATATTTAAATGTACCTATGACCAAAACATTATTTTTCATTGATTATCATACTAGTATCATAAAACTGTTACTACTTCAAAAACAATTTGTAAGCTAACTTTCTCTTAGCAAACTTGCCTAAATGTACTGAGAAGACCCAGCAATTATAAACTCAATGATAAATAATATGCCAGAAAAATTCCAATGGGAAACTGTTCAAGCTATTGTCGTTTTGTTTGTTGGCTTGTTTGTTTGTTTGTTTAAGGAAAGGAGCCTTTATTTTGGCTCAACATTTAAGAGACAGTCCATTGTGGTGGGGATGGGATGGTCCAATTCTCTTCTGCCTACACTGACGGAAGAGTGGCTTTCACTGTAACAGTCCCTATGCCAAGACTAACTGTAAGTCACGTGATCATACTATGTTTTGCTGTTTTAGCAAGCACATACTGAACCTTAGTGAATCTACAGAAAAATATTAACAAATAGGTAATTAAAAATGCTTTCCCCGTAACAAAATTTTAAATTGTTTGTAGACTTATCAGTCCTGCTTTCTTCCAAAGTATCTCAAGCCAATAACAGGAGCTTGGAGTAGCTGGTTACATTATGTCGAGATGGAAACTCAGTTATTACTTGTACCTAAACATTTCTATAACAATGTTTACAAATACGTAGCTAATTATGCATTATTATTACTAGTAAGTTATTTCTAGTAAATACTAACAACTGCTGTTTAATCGTAATATAAAATTTTTTTCCTAGGCTTCTTAGTACACCTATGGATATTTATATTTATTAGACAAAGTGAGAGTTTGACTGTCTACTGTAAAGTAATGATCATATTTACAATTCAAGGACACCAGTGAAATGGCACAGGGTGTCTAATAAGATGACTCAGAGGGTAAAAGTGTTCATATCAAGCCTGGTGATTCTGATTTCACTCCTCAAGACTCACACAGTGGACACAGAGAATAGTTTTCTGACCTTCATATCCACCTTTTTGTTTCTAGGTATTATAAAAGTTCTTTCCTTTTTATTTCTTTCTTTTCTAAATTATTTGCTTGTTTATTTATTTTGGTTTTTTGAGACAGGGAGGGTATCTCTATGTAGTCCTGGCTGTCAAAGAACTCACTCTTTACATCAGACTGGCCTCAAACTCACAGAGACCATCCTGTGTGCCTCCTGAGTGCTGGAATTAAAGGTGGACGTCACCACTTGGCTGCTGCAATCATTCCTACGGGCGTTGTACCTTAAGTTGTACCTGACTGGAGAGCTCTCAGCCTCCCTCTCAGCTATATCCCAACCCCTGCCACCCCTATTCATCTGCTCCCCGCTTCTCAAACATTTGCCTTACAAGGACAATGCAAGAGTTTAGCAGGTTCCTCTTCCTTAAGCCTCTACCTAGACTCCTCTCCCTCCCCAGGAAACGCTCACCTATTATGTAGCTGCTTTAGTGAGCCATTTGGATAGGCCTGATAGGACTTCATCACCATGCTATTGATAAATGATAAGATATCTTTAATGATTTCCATCACCTTCATTTATTATGCTGCTTAATTTGTTTTGCACCCATAAAGATCTCCAGCTTTTTATACTCACATAACTATGTAATTTTAAACACCTAAATCACACATAATAGAAAATACTGAGTAATTGTATGTCTCATTGATTATCTCTGTATTATAAACTCAGTAGTCAACATAGCATTGTTAAACCTGTCGACACTTGTGCAGTTTGACCAACAAAACCACCCAGAGAATAGTCAACTGATGCAGAAGCGTGAACCTAATTAAGAGACAGAAATGAAGAAAGGCAAGTCAGTAAGAATGCAGCAAATGGTAGACCCTCTGTATGGTACTGAGTTGTCAGTTTGCCTTTTCCTTGCTCTCCACACAGGTGCTGGATGGTTCCCCGATTGAGGTGACCTTGGCCAAGCCAGTGGACAAGGACAGTTATGTTAGGTACACCCGGGGCACAGGTGGCAGGAACACCATGCTGCAAGGTGAATACACCTACCCTCTGGGCCATGTTTACGACCCCACCACAGCCTACCTTGGAGCTCCTGTCTTCTATACCCCCCAAGCCTATGCGGCCATTCCAAGTCTTCATTTCCCAGCAACCAAAGGACATCTCAGCAACAGGGCCCTCATCCGGGCCCCTTCTGTCAGAGGTAACACAATTTAGTGCTGGGTTTACTGTAACTCTTACAGTTCAAATGACTGATAAACTATAGTTCTAATGGACTATAAATTACAGTTCTGTAGCCTTAGACAGATTGGATGGATTCACTGGGAGAAAAAGACTAGAAAATTATTTGTTAAAAATCAAATATTTCAGTGTCTCTTATTTTATAGGAATCTATTTTTTTTTCACATCACAACTGGCTATTGAAAACTACTTGTCAGAAGTTGGTACTAATAAGTCTGGTATACAATTAGATCCTTGCATGGACCCATAAAATACATACAGAATACAGCCTAGCGCCATACCCATCGTTCCCTGCTCTCTGTTTTAGACTACTATGTGGCACTAACATGTAATTAGACTGAGTGCAGAACTTCTAAGGGAAAGAAGCATGGCCCGACGGAAATCAGCTCAGACAGCGAAATCACTTGAAGGCCCATATGTACTTGATGGACACACTTTGCAGGCCAATCACAAATTATCATCCATACGGTTCATTTATATGAAGGATTCTCATCTGAACACTCTCCCAGATCCATGTGTTATGTTTGTCTATGTGTTGGTGACAAGGGCTTATTATCTATTCCAGGCTGGCCTTGAACTCACAACGTCTGCCTCGGCCTCCTGAGAATTGTAATGGCAGATGTACACCACTCCGGCTGTGTGTGGTAATGTTGAAGAAGTCAAACTCTTAAGGAAATTAGTGTTTCTTTAGTATATAGGAAGCCAAATAATTTCAAAATAGAAAACAAATTCAATCCCACTGCCAGACTAGAAATATTTCATGTTTGAATCTTACACAGACTCTCTGTTTGAGCAGGTTTCTGAGCTCAGGAAATTCAATATTTATATGAAGTTACTTTTCTCTGCTTTGTACTATATGTCACTGAAGTTTTCTTGGGTATGGCTAACATTATCTGGATCCCAATCCTGTTTTCCCTATATGATAGCAATCTGGAAAATAGGAACAAATGATGCATTTAAATCCACTCTTGGAAGAGCCCCGTCCAGATTTCTGTGGATACTATTACATGGCTATATTGCATTCTTTTTCAGGGAGAAATGAATTGAGCATTTTAAGACCTCTTCAATGGACTTAAAAGTTCTACGCTCACAATACAATCACCCCTACCAAAATTGCAATGTAAAAGTAATAACCAACGTCTTATCCAAAATACTTTCTACATATTATAACAAATTATATCATCGAAACCTTATGCATATAAATAATATATCACTAATTAATCCATATATCTTCCATGTTATCAACCAGTTGTGATGTAGAAGAAAGCAAACTTCATTCCAAGGGAAAAATAATACATAGCATTTACAAATATGTAATCAATGAATAATATTTATGGGTGAAGAGTAATCAACCTAATGGTTCATATTCCTTTGTGTCACCAATAGGAAATCAATGTAGCAATGTGGCAAAACAAAAATCAAAAGGAATCTGTGTATGAAACTCAACGGAAATCTAAGCCCCACATTGACAACGCATAATAGAGAGTGGTAAACTTAAAAAAGAAAAATAAATGCTTTCTAAATGTTTTTCTGATGACTCATTGGGGATGTGCCAATGAAATTCATTCTGGCTTCCTGGCAGTGTGGCAGTCACTGTGATAGTCCCTACGCCAGTCTAACTGTAATTCAAGTGGTCATATTATATTGGGACATTTTAATAACTTTATACTAAACCTTAGTGATCAAAAAAATATTAGCAAAAAGGTAATTAAAGTGCCGTTCTCTCTGGCAAAATTTGAAATGACTTGTGTTCTTATCGATCCCCTGGAATGAACTGATGTCTTCCTAAGGAGCTTTCTCCTTCCCTGATGTTGGCCCTTACCTGAAGTTGAGTTTCATTTCACCAGAGTCTGCGGTTATCTGTCCATCCTCAGGGCAGTAATCAATGTGACTTGGGCTAACTTTTCCATTACAGTAAGATTCAGGGTGATTTTCTGGTGGTTTGATTCGGTTTAATGCCTTCTTACATTCCTAGAAATTTACATGAATGTCCCTGTAGGGGCCGCGGGAGTGAGAGGACTGGGCGGCCGTGGGTATTTGGCATACACAGGCCTGGGCCGCGGATACCAGGTCAAAGCAGACAAGCGAGAAGCCAAACTCTATGACCTTCTGCCTGGGATGGAACTCACCCCGATGAATCCTGTCTCTCTAAAACCACAAGGGATTAAACTTGCTCCTCAGGTAGGTAATATTACTGCAGAGGTGGTTAAGTTGGCCCCGGACCCATTGTTTGAATGGTTGGCATTGATGCTTAATTGGGCTACTGTTCTGTGACCATCAGCTTAACAGATTCAGGAGAGCGGCTGAGGCTGGCTGCCATTCTGGCACTAAAAGGCCCTTCATTGCACTTAATCACAATCCAGCAAAAATATAAAACAAACAAAAAAAATGGAAAAAGAAAGTCAACCATAATCTTAAGTGAAAATAACATGGAATAAGACCTTTGCTCAGAATAAATGCTTATGAAGCAGGTTGGTCAAGAACAGAAGAGAAGTGGAGTCATAGCTAGGAGCATTTTGTTGACTGTTTAGGACATGTATGTATGGTATTAAAAGAACAACAACAATAGACATGACAACATGGATGGAGAAAGCCTCCTGGACTTCAACCCCCACAAAGAACTATAGGCAACTGAGTAAAGCTGGAAGCAGGAAAGGCAACCTTTCCCAGGGAGGAAAATGCCAATTGGTTGTGTGGTGTCAAGGAGTCAGCACTAAAAACATCCATACAAGTAACATCATACAGACAGAAGAGGTTATTTCAGAATATATATGTATACATACACATACTACATATACATACACAATAATAATTAATAAAGGAGGCCATGAATTTCAAGAAGAGTAGGGAAGGGCATGCAGAAGGCTTTGGAGGGAGGAAAAGGAAGGGAGAAATGTCATTATATTATAATCTCAAAAAATTAAAGGGACACAGAGAGAGAGAGAGAGAGAGAGAGAGAGAGAGAGAGAGCATTCCAGCATGGAATCTAGGTAAAAGATTAACTATAAAAATGCCATCCGTCATGTAAAGTCTTCTAGAATGCTTTTTATTGGGCAATGTCATGATGGTAAGTGTTGTTTGCTTTCATTTAATACTCTGCCTGTCCATGTTTCTGTGTAGCTGTGAGTTTTTGTTACTAGTGGGCACTGAAAGTTATAAGGTCATTCCAATAGGAAAACTAAAGACCATTTTGAAAATGAGAACCAAACAGACTCAGTCCCTGGTAAGCCCAGGTTATCCCATGCGTGGGTACCCCGTGTTGCTCCCTCTGAAGCCACTTGGCTGTGGACTTTGGGGGAAGCTTCCTTGCCCTCAGGAGGAAGGCAGAAATATAGCTTTGTTTTTCTTTCTTATACCTTTAAGTAATGCTTCTTCAAACTCTAAGCAAGCATTAAAAAAAGAAGAAGAAGAAGAAGAAAAATGTCTATTGCAGTGGTAAACAAGAACCATTTGTTTAAAAAAAATAACATTTATTGGGCTTCTCTAAGGTGCCATGTGTGCGAGACACTAGAGATGCAAAAATGAATCTAACAAAATCCTTGCAATCATAAATCATATGGCAACCCAGTGAGAAAATACTGACCCATCAAGATATAATTACAGAGAAACCAGGTACTGTGGTGAAAAAGTCATTCTGAGCAAAACTCTGCTTTTCCATTAAATGCGGGAAGAAGTCAGCCATAGTGAAAGGTATCTACCTAATCTGTCTCTGAATTTTTACGACCATAGTGGAAAAATCGAAACCATGCCACCCCAGTCACCTTGGCTAGAGACCAACCCCCATGGCAGAGGTAGGAATCTCCAACCAGTAGACAGGGTTCCAAACTGCCCTGCCCAGCCAGCAGCTGCAGAGGCCACACCCCTCAGCGTGTTTGCTCAACTGGCATAAATGGGCAGACAGCTGATCTATTAGTAAAAGCTGACAATTGCTCGGGAACCTCAGAGCATGCTCTATAAACAACAGAAGGTGACACCAAGGGCTTTTTAATAAAGAAAAATAAGCGTAATCTTTAAATTAATAAACTGGAAAACGTCGTGAGAGACAGCAGCTGGGTTAAACGTGAGAACCCTGAGCTAAGAAGCTCTGTCCGGAGAGCCGGGAGGCATTGTTGAGTTGCACTGCTCTTGTCTCCGCTTCGAGCCTGTTCCACACACATACTGAATCTGTGTGTGAAGGGCGGGTCAGGACCTCAGCAGCACCAAAACCGGCGTTAGAGTAAAAAAACCATGAATGTTTTGAGAAAAGATTCTGTTTGGGGTGCTTAAAATGGTAAAAAATAAACATGCAGATAGATAGCAAAACCAGATTGTCCGGGGCTGGAGAGATGGCTCAGCGTTTAAGAGCACTGGCTGCTCTTCCAGAGGAACCAGGTTCAATTCCCAGCACCCACGTGGAAGCTCACAACTGTCTGTAACTCCAAGGTCTAACATCCTCACACAGACATACATGTAGACAAAACACCAACGCATGTCATAAACAGCTAAAAGCGGCACATTGCCAAGTAAGTTTTTAAAAATCACCACACATAAATACCTAGTAGGGTTTATTAATAAATCCTAAATCCTGAGCCAAGGGCTGGAAAGATGGTTCAGTGGTTAAGAACACTTGCTGCTCTTACAGAAGACACAGGTCGGGTTTCCTGACACCCACATAGTGGCTCACTATCTGTAGCTCCAGTTCCAGATATGCTGACCCCTGTAGGCACCACGCAGATGCTGCACATATACACAGTCAAAACACTCACATACACAAAGTCCAAATATATGAAACAAGGCAAGAAAATGACATTTTTGAAACTTTTCAAAATCAAAATGATTTTTTTCAAAAATGTGAAGTTAAAAAGCCTACGACAAATGACACATGGCCAAGAAACCTTCTCTGGCTAATTTCCCTCAGCCACTCTGAACAAGGGCTGTGGGGGGCAGGAATATGCAGATCTGCCCTCACAGTGTATTGCACCAATTTCCTAAACCCGGAATAAACAAAATAAATAAAAATAGAACAAAAAATATGAAGAATTATTAAGTTCATAGTGCGTGAGTGCATGTGTGATGTGTGTGATGGGAGTGAATGGTGTGAAAATGATTTTATGAACTATAATAGACATTTACAGCTTAAATGGAGTTCGGATCGAGTTCCACTTAAATTTTATGAGTTGTTAAGCTACATGGCATTTTCTCTTTTCTATTAGTAAAAACTGAAGGTCAGAACTTGGAACCTAAATGCCAGAGAAGCAATGCAAATGCGACATTTGGGAGAGAAATCATTTCTTTTTCTACTCTTGTAGATACTAGAAGACATCTGTCAGAAAAATAACTGGGGACAGCCAGTGTACCAACTGCATTCTGCCATTGGACAAGACCAAAGACAATTATTCCTATACAAAGTAACTATCCCAGCACTGGCCAGCCAGAATCCTGCAATGTGCGTACTCTCCCCCAGCTCCTAGCAATAGAGATTCTAGAATGAGATTAGCCTGTGTGTTCTGTGTATTTGATCATCGCTCCAGTGGCAGTCTCAAGTCTGCTACCTACTCCTTCGTAATTAAATAAGGCAGAGAGATGCCCAGCAGGGATGTATGCCCTAGCTGTTAGATGGCTTCTAAAAACCCCAAAGTTTCATATAGCACAAGGACTCTAGGATAACTGACTAAGGGAACCGGGGCTGGTTAGAGGTCAGAGGGGAATAAAGGACTATATATAACAGGTTCCTTCTGCAGCGTTCAGGTCGACACAAGTGACCCTCAAGACGTTGCCACTTACTGCATAACCTTCTGACCTACCTTTTAATTTTATATCAAAGATATGATCTGTTAGTAGATATCACCTTCTGGATTTTACCTCCAGACTACATGTATATATTTTAGGAATGACGCATACCTAAGAAGTGTCATATAGTAAAACTTACGCATGTTCCCCAGAAATGCCATACCAAATTGCTAGATCAATTCACAAATAGTCCCATGCATGTGTATATGTAGAATTTTTATTTTTGCAGCAAACAGAATGGAGAAACCCTATAGAATCCCACCATGAATCCTCTTTAAAAGCTAAAACTGCCTTTGGTTTTTCATCTGACTGGGTGCCTAAGTTTCTGAATAATTCACGTGACCGGCTGTGTTTTCCAGCCACCCGTTCACACCTCCGAAGCTAAGTGCCTACGTGGATGAAGCAAAGACGTATGCCGCAGAGCACACGCTACAGACCTTAGGCATCCCCACAGAAGGAGGGGACGCCGCGACTACAGCAGCCACAGCCGCATCCGCCACTGTGTTCCCAGGTACTGGGGGCCCGGATCATTTGTGCCAGACATTACAGGCTGCAGAGTGTCTGGATCCCTTCTTTGTAGGAGCCTCAACTTCAATAGTTCTGACTTGCACCTTGTGCCGACGGGAAAGCTACCGGGAACTGAATCAGATTAGCCTAAGCCGGCTCCCATCTGCCTCTGTGTTAAGTGGCTGTGTGACCTTGAATGAGTCAACACCCAAGTGTGGTGCAGATTGTTTGTTGGGTTTTTTTTCTCCTAGTAAGAGATTTTGGTATTATTATTAGCAGATATTTAACTGAGCGCTTGCTAAGAGCTGGGTACTCATCGAAGCACTCAGCAAGCTTGATATTTCCCCAGGGACCCCTACGGTACTTTGCAGCCTTATGAGAATGTAATCCCCTCATATTACAGATATAGAAGCCTAAAACTGGGGAGGTTAAACAACTTGGCCACTATTGGTTAACCTTTGGTTGGCTCCTACTTTTTATGTTTTATTTGTGTCTGTATGACTGTGTGTCCATGCCAATTTGTGCATATACGTGTAATATAAATATATGTTTGTTTGCAAGTGCGTATGTGGAGGCCAGAGGTCAGGGTCAGCTGCTTTCCTCTATTAAATTTCACCTCTTTTGTTCTTTTAAGATTTATGTGTATGTGTGTGTACACATGTGTGTGTTTGTGTGTGTGTGTACATACGTGTGTGTGTGTGTGTGTGTGTGTGTGTGTGTGTGTGTGCATGCAGGTTCCTGAAGAGGCCAAAAGTGTTAGATCCACTGAAGCTGGAGTTGCAAGTGGTTGGGCACCCAGCATGAGTGCTGCAAATCAAAGTCCAACCACTGTGTGAACAATATGTGGTCAGTCACAGAGCCTTCTCTCCAGCCCCACTACCTCATCTCTTCATCTCTTGAGACAGTGTTACCAGATAAGTTGAGGTTCCCATTAAGGGTTCTTAGTCTGTTTAATGTAAGAATTTAGAAATGAAAGCTTGAGGACAGGTACATTAGAGGTTAAGATCAGATAGATAGATAGATAGATAGATAGATAGATAGATAGACAAATAGACAGGTAGACAGACAGACAGATGATAGATATACAGATAGGTAGATAGACAGACAGACAGATAGACAGATAACAGGCAAGCTGGCTATAAATCTCGGCAGCTTCCAGAAAGGAAATGGGGGAAAAGTCCAGAGTGCCAGGGAAAGCAGGCTTAGCTTTTCATCCAAAAACAGGAAGAAAAGGTGTCTTTCTGTTGGTAAAGTGAGATAGCTTTTCCAGTTCTCCACGAGTCCAAGGCTAACCCCATTAGTTACTGAACTTTTCAAACTGTTCTTGCAACATTACAACAATGGTTTGTGCCAATTTCAAAGACTTTTTATAGTGTGGTTCATGTTACTTTTCTAAAGCAAACCAAAAGTGTAATTCTCAGGGTTCTTGTGATGAGGGGTCTTTTAAGCATTTGTAATAGATAAAAATAAGCCAGTTCACAGTGTTTAACAAAAAAAAATCTTTTTAAAAAATTACTTGTGTTGTGGTGATAATTAAGCCACTGTAAAAGTAATGTAGTATCTCCTCTACTGGAATACCCGGTCTCTAGTTATTCATATTGTGTGAAGGAAGTTTTTGTTATTTATTTATTTTATTTATTTATTAATTTATTTTGAAACAGGGTCTCTCTCTCTAGCCCTGGTTGTCCAGGAACTCTCTATGTAGACCAGACTGCCTCAAACTCACAGAGATCCTCCTGCAATTGTTCTGGGCATGTTGGGATTAAAGGCATGAACCACCATGCCCTGATATTTTTAATATTTTACGTGTGAGTTTTTAGGCCAAGAGAGGTTTCAACAGAACCAGACCCAAGGAATCTACCATTAATATGCCCTGCCAGCTCCTCAACAGCCTGCGTCACATATGCATTTCTGTAGACACTTCCCTGGGAAAGTTCTGTATTGCTAGTCAGCAACATAGGGTACCTTTCTGTTCACTGGACCATCTCTCTGAGGTCTCTATTTGCTGAGGTGAAGTAAGCCTGACACAGGGAAGTTGATTCTCCCTGGAGAACGCCATCTTCAATCTTCAGATTGTATTCCAGCTAGGTGGTGTTTGTCTTTAATCCCAGCACTCAAGAGGCAGAGGCAGGTGGATCTCTATGAGTTTCAGACCAGCCTGGTCCAAGTGTGAGTTCCAGGATAGCTAGCAAGGGCTATAAAAAAGACCCTGTGTCAAAAAAACCTATAAAAGCAAAACCAAACCAAACAAACCAAACAACCCCACCATTGCTATTCTTCACAACTGCACCCTCTCAGAGTACATTTTCATCATACATATCTTTTGTTTTAAGCAAATGCCAATTTTCCATATTGCTGAAAGACACAACGTTCCAGAAAAGGAGGAAAATCTGAATTCCTCTCATAAATTCTCTCTGCCTCCTCCTCCAGGCTATGCTGTCCCCGGTGCCACTGCCCCTGTGTCTGCAGCTCAACTCAAGCAAGCAGTAACACTTGGACAAGACTTAGCGGCATATACAGCCTATGAGGTCTACCCTACTTTTGCAGTGACTACCCGAGGAGACGCGTATGGAGCCTTCTGAAGATTTCTTTCCTCTAAGAATAAGACTCCCAGAATGTTCGGTAGATGATACGAACCTCGAACCAGATCCCCTTGTGGTCATAAGTCATAACTTCCCCAAAGCAATGCCTTTCCTGAGACGACATGACTTACTGTATTACTCATGAAATGTGAATCTTATTCCTCAACAAAATCAAATCTAAGGAGCCTTTTGCTTAAAAGAAATATGAAGAGCCACTACCAGCAAAAGTTATTCTTCCAAAGATCCTGAGTGTCTCAGGAAGGTGATAAAAACCCTAACAAATTAGTGTAAGCTCTCTTAGTACCAGGAACTGGGGCCCAGGATGAGCTAGGCAGTCAGCAGCAAGGCGCAGACAGGAAAACTCGTGTCTCAGTCACTGGCTCAGAGCTGAAGCCGCACTCACGAAATCAAGAGACCATAGGAAAGCAGGAGGCTTTGTAAGAGGTATTCACCATCGCCTACGGGGTAAGCCCAGTCCTAAGCTCATGAAAACTGAAATGGTATAGATTTCATTATCACTTTTGGTCTAGAAATTCTCTCCCTTCAATATGTCAAAGATCAGCATCTTCCTATACCTGCAGCCTCCAGGACTTCCTAGAAATCAATATGGTGTGTTTCAGATATGCTTGAGACAATCTAAGCCCTGTATTTATTCAACACCATAAACCACTCTTTTGCTTCAAAATCCCTGTCCTGCCCAAGGCTGCTCGAACCATAGAAGCTATGCCAACACCAAGAACTATAGTGAAAAACGACTTTTTCTCATCTGGAAATCCTTACATGTCCATACTGTTTTCTGTGATCCCAGACTCATTTTGCTAAACTCAAACACTGGTAAAGTAAATCAGATCTACGTAATACACTATGATATTTTCATAATCAGAAACTGGCCAAAAAGTCCTTTCAAAGACAAAAGGGAACTTGGTTTGCTTTCCTCACTCTGTAGCCCAGGCTGACCTCAAATTTGTGAGCCTCCTTTCTCTCCCATCCCTGTGCTGAGAGAGTTGATGCACAACACCACACCCAGCTCCAGACAGTTATGTTAACTTGAGGTTAACGTTGAATTCTCTACCTAGTTCATATTAAATCCACCAAGCAACAGTGTCCTTCCATTCTTTTGATCTTCTTTCAATATGTGCAGAACAGCTGGGGAAGAAAGGAGAGAGAGCATGCAAGTGCTTAAGCTTGGGAGTGGGCGGAGCTTGTCTCTTAAAGGGACCTTTGCACCTGCATATAGTCAGGGAACTGGTTGCCATATGCTGAGGGGTGATTGTGCCAGGTTCCCAAAGAGCACCAGGATACTTACAATGGTTGCTAAGAGACCATCCTTTCAGAGTTTAGTAAAAGTGCTATTTGCCAAAATGTTCCTGAATATTCAGAACATCTGACAGTGATGTGATGGGGGTGATAGAGTCAGAGATGGAGAGTAAAAGGATGTGAGGCGTTGGTACAGAATATATATGTTCAAAACAGAAAGTCAAAATCCAGTACTGAATCCAAACACTACTCCCATTTCATTAGCGATTTAGGGGACATAGCACTAGAATTTCCATTTTAAAAAAAATGGCTCACATGAAAGTCTGTGGAACTCAAGGGTAAGCCAACACAAAGGTGCAGAAAATATTGTCAACTCCTTAATGGAATTCTGGAATCTAAAATCAAGACAGATTCCATTCAGAGCCAAGGCAATGTCAATCATGGTTGAATGTCTCAGAACCTTCAGGTTCTAGGAATTCCAGCAGGGCATCTAAAGCCAAGACCCGCCCGCTGAAACTCTGGAAGGCTCTGGATTTTCTGGTTTATACTTTCTTCCTCGGATCATTGTGTCACTGAGCATAGGGACACCTGAATTTGGTGGCACATCCAAAATACCTGAAGGGTCACATGTCAATTAGGTGAGAGTGTCATGGGTTCAGGCCTGACCTCTGCCTCCCTGGGGCTCATCTGTGTACTATGGAGCAGACAGATGGAATGACTTTTGGGGTGGGTGGCTATTACTTTGTTATAGCAACATATAGAGAATATTTTAAATTCCATTAGGATATATTTATAGAAAGCGTCCATGTATTGCTACCCTGATAGGCCAAGTTTGGGTGTAATGAGCTTGGATCAAGAGAGAAAATGGATTGTCGTTTTGGGTGGAGGTGTTGTTATTGGACTTTAGTTGTTTTATGTTATTGTTGTTGTTGTTGTTTTCCTTTTCTTTCTTTTTTTTTAAACAGTTTTAGGACAGACTCTATTCATGCAGCTCAGGCTAACCTCAAACACTTCAGTCTCCTGGCTTTGGCTGGCACCACAGGCTTGCACTACCACACCTGTCTCAAAGATAAGCTTGGAAAAGATCAAGTATCAAACCAAAGGCTAGTTTTGCATATCATTTATACTTTAGGTTAGTAAATAAGCAATAACACTGCCTGCCTTTCTGACTTCTAATCCATTTTCCTGGTTCATCCCTGTATACTTCTTAGTTCTTCGTAGAAAAAAACCTTCAAATCAGCAGGGCAACCAAATAAAACAGGCAAAAGACCCTGAACTAAATCATTTTGAAAAAATCTAACAAATTAGCGTTTGGTTTTTAAAAGTCTGGCAAGTAATAGGGTGTTGATAAAATCTGCTGGATGTTACTTGGAATAGAGTAAATGGAACCAGGTGAAACGGAGCCTCTCTTTGCCCCCTGTCAACTGCTCTCCATTCTGTTTTTCCATCCCACACCCTCAGTAAATCAAGAGGAGCAACAGCTACTGCAGTAAACAGAAACTGTCCTAGAGGACTTAAGGTGTGTCCTGAAGTCTACACAAGATACTGCCAAACAGACTTCTCAAAATGTGGCTGGCAAACTACCTCATCTAAGAAAACAGTAACATCGAAAAATATCCAAAAAGGAGGGTCATAAGTTGCTACATAATATAAAGGTTTTTATTTTTTTTTCAGTCACATAGAACAGCAAAATGCTTTATCTATAGTTTTCCGTTTGTATTAATTTTCAAGACATCCTGCTGTTCAGAGGGCAGGCACAGCTTGGATTAACCAGCTCAGTGGCTAACTGGTGCAGGACCACAGTGATCTAAAGGAATGAATGCATCACCTCTCTGGCCAGTTGTCTGAGAGCCACCCTCCCTCTATGGATCCCTCTCACCCGCTTGTTTCTGAGCCCCATTTTCCTCTCCCTCTCCCCGGACTGTGGACCTGAGTCCCACCTTCAAATGGCAGAACCGGCACACCTAGGCCAGGCTGGACATGGGGACAAGATAAAAGATGGCTCTTGGGAATGTTTTCTTACCCTGCCAAGATTCACAGGGTGCCAGAAGAGTCTCAGAGCTTTTGTTGATTCCTTCTTTCCCTCAATTAAGCTAATTATACCTCAAACTAGAGAGTTTCCTGTGTAAATGTTTTCATCTTCCTTTTCCCCTCTGCTTCAGGAATGTTCCCGAACACAATTTGCTTTGCATCCAACTTCAACTCATCCTGTTGCTTTTCAGCTTCCTCTCCAAACTCTTCCCCTTTTCCTATACAAGGCTTCATGACTTTGTAATGGAAAATAGCATCAACTGGTTATGTTCGTGAAACTCTTGTCCTCTGTCTATTGCCTTTACCAATGCTGAGAATTTTACGAGCTGTGCTGGCTGACTCACCTGTTCATTCATGACAGATGTGATCTCTATTTGCTGTGCTCTTTGTTTGCTATGCACCCACCCCTCCTCCAGAAACAATGAATGCAAACACGCAAGTTTCTGCTCCTCTCTGCAGTGGGCAAACAATTGGGGGCCCATTGTGCAGTTTTCAAAATTGAACATGACTGGATAAGTTAGTAGTTTCTGCCACTTGATCAGAATCCCCAAAATAAGCCAGTTCTACCCTGAACCCTTACGCTTCCAGCAGTCCCACCCAATCTGAGCAATTGATTGCTTTTTTTTTTAAGTCAAATGAGTTTTCAAGTATTTCTCCCCAGAAAAGTATCAAAAACTATACAAAAGTAGACAACAAAGGTTTAGCTCCTGGAAAACTTTTAAGTATGGCTGTGAGGGATGTACAAAGTGATCGACAGTGCCCATCAATTGGCACCAGGCTTCATTACTTGAAAGCATTTTGGACATTAAGTATTTTTATTTTCTAAGTTATTAGTGTTCTAAAATTCAAATATCTATTTAACAAGCCACATCTTCATGTTTTGCATTAAATGATTTGCAACACAGTCTTTGTACCTTTCGCAAATACACAATTTTATTTTGAAACTTGTTATTTTAATTCCTAGGAGATATTTGGGAGCTCAAACTGCAAATATGTCTATTTAAATCAATCATCATTATCTTGGTTTAAATATTTAATCACTGGTAATTTTAGTGCATTCCCTTGTAGAAATCTCTTTTTTAAATGGAGTTTCATGGCTGCAATATAGTCAGATATTATCTTCTCTTATCTTTTAGTGAAAAGGAAGCTAAGAGCAAACTGTACCTCCATTTTTCAGGTGTTAACAATCCCCTGCTTCTTTTCATTTTATTGTTATTTATATGGATTTATCTAGAGTACCAAAAGAAAGATAAATTTTAAAAAACAGTATTAAAGAGTATGCATAAAGCACTTATTTTTGTACTTTGAGTACAATGTTTTATAGAGCTAAATGATATAACTAGTATGGTAAAATTATATCATTCTCCTATTTGGAAAATGATCATTGCTTTGGAAAATACAAATATACTGGTCACCTTAGAATCATAAATCAATGAAAATGAGAAATGATGCAATTTCATGGAATTTCAGAATGGTGATATGGCTTTAATTGAATTTTTCAGTAACATAATAAAGTTTTAATAATTATCAACCTGGGTTGCTAACGTTTTTCTTCCCTGAAAACGAAAGGTTTTTTTTTTTCTCAGTAAGCATGCAATTGGTACAGAATCACATGTACACTTGCTTAGTTCTCAGCCTCCATGTTTATGTCAGTTCTTCAGAGTGCATCCTCCAGGAGTGTATGCCATTTTCCAGTCAACCAAGAAAGTGAAAGAAATACCCAGAAACTAAAAAGAGAGAGAAAGAGCCTTCAGACAGGTTAGTGTGTACTGAAGTCAACATTAGCCTGGGGGTATCTGCTAATCCTAAGTGAAAGGAAAATTTCATCAGTAAACTGTCCCCTGAGAACAAATCCTGTTTGTTGATCCCCGAGTTAAAAATGGTTCCAATTTATAAAAGACTTAGTGAGGAATGTTTCTTTCCTCCTCTTCTTTCAGGGTCGAACCAAGGATATTTTCAGCTTCTAGCCAAGGACAAGAATGGAACCATGTCTCTTGGGGGTCCTGCTCTAAACTGCTTGACCAGTTTCTATTTCCTGTTCTCTACACTATCTGGCCTACAAGTCTGCCAACCCTGTGTTAAGATAAGAACATGTATTTTGGTTTCTTTTACGTATAGCATCCCACTTATAGGCACTAAATTCTGGACTAGTTAGGACTAGGCATGGCTGGCCGTGAAAGGAAGTTCAACTAGCAATGGCATGGGGAGCTTGCTCGGGACTCTCATTAATGATCCAGCCCCTTCCATGGTCACCATTAATACAATTCAGTGAGATACCCAAAGCATAAGTAAATATAGGGATAATTTATTACAGAATAAAGTGAACTACTCATAGGGATGGGAGTGAGCAACAGCCAGAGAGACCTTTGTCCCAGTTCATATTTTGAGTGGGTTTTAATATAATTTCAGAAGTCTCTGAAGCAGACTGGCTTTCCAAGTGATCAACAAGTTTATTCGGATTAATTCTCAAGGACAGGAAGAGTGGTGTGAATTGTTCTGTACCAAAGCCTTCTGCTAAGCCGTAATAAAACAGAGCTTTAGGTGTTTATCTATCAGTGACCCTCAGGAGAATTCAGAATGACATGTCTTTATCCAAGGACAGAGAAAAGCACTCATATTCCATTTTTTTAAAAAAAATGCTTATTTTTAATTATGTGTATAAGGGGATGGGGGGCGCATGCACCTGAGTGACCTTGGACACAAAAAAAAAACAATGTCAGATCCCCGGAAACTAGTGGTTGTGAAAGCTGCCCCATGCGGACACTAGGAACTAAGTGACCCCAAGAACTCCACAGCTCCTAGTGGCTGAGCCAGGCACCTCTCTAGCCCCATCATTGACAGTAATCACAGTCCTACTGTTTCATTCTTACTTTTGTGAGCTGCTGACTATGAAGAGACCCATCCTCAGAGACCTCCCAGCCCTCTGGATACCTAACAGCGCTCACTAAGCCCCAGAAAGACAGGAGGCAAATGATGCTGGGCTCACATAGCATGTAAACATGGTTCCTTCTTGTTACTTAACTTCGTGGTTTCAAGACCATGGTCTAGGATTTATATTCCAAATAGGAGAATGAAAGAGGTACAAAGAGGAGGGAAAGCCAGCTCCCAGCATCCTGGTAGGGAGAGTTATTGGAAGCTGCTATGTGGAGCTGAGGTCTGGGCTGAATTGGTCAGAACTTTAGCATGTGGTCACTCCCTGCCACAAGAGCGAATTGGAAATGCAATCTTCAGGTGGCAGTAATAATCACGTTACTAAGACTAGAAGACGAATACTGAGGGGAAACTGCCTTCTGCCACAAAGACACCACAAGAAGTTCTTGAAAATCAAAGCAAGTGGTACCCGTGATAACGTCAGGCAGGGGACTGGACAGGTGGACAGAAACTTGTGGCTCCCGATCCTGCTTTCATCAGTGTAGAGGAAACTGCTACTCTGGGAGATTCTTAAAGTATTGTCACTTACTGAACAAGTGACCGCAGCAGGGAGGACGGCAGTGAGCCCTGCCCCACTGGCACTCGTAAGAGCACAAAAGCTCCTATTGAGAATAGCCTGGACCCGGCAGCTTAACTTCAATGGTAAAATGTGGCGAAAGTAACCATGTGTCACTTCCAAGCTTGGCTTATAGAGGGTCATAATGTCCATCTTTGCTAGCACTTCTTGCTTGCTCCCTGTAGGAAAGAAAGCCGCATGTTATAGTTATACAGAGGAAGGTATCACATGGCAGGGAGCTAATAGAAGTCTGAAGCCAAGAACCCGGAAAGCTGAGTCCCTCCAGCAACCACATAAGAGAGGTTGGGCACAGCGTGCTTCGCTGAGCCCTGAAAGCACTGTAGGCCTGGTTAAAGCGCCAAGTGCAGCCCCTGAGTCCCTGAAGCAGAGGTTGGAGCAAGCTGTGCCTGGCTCTTGCCTCATAGAAAATGAAATTACAAATGTCATTAGAAGTTGCATTTTTGCCGGGCGGTGGTGGTGCATGCCTTTAATCCCAGCACTCGGGAGGCAGAGACAGGTGGATCTCTGTGAGTTCGAGGCCAGCCTGGTCTACAAGAGCTAGTTCCAGGACAGGCTCCAAAGCCACAGAGAAACCCTGTCTCAAAAAAAAAAAGTTGCATTTTCTGGAATTTTTGCTATGAGCCATTACACTGGTACAACCAACACACATTTCTAAATTGACAATGAATTCAGATGGGTTTGTCACCTGAGAGTCACAGCAACAGGTAAGTAATACAGCAGGGGAAACTTGCCGCCGACTCAAATGTACCATTCATCTGAGCATCCTGCAAGCCGCTTCCAAACCTCTGAGAAACCAACTCAGTTTTCCAATGCATAAAGAGCTGCTGCAGATGTTCGTGGGAGGACACCGCCTGCCTCCAGGAAGATGAAAACCAAGGGAATAGTTACAGCTGATGAAGTGGGCGCTCAGATAAAAGGGATGCATGAAGAAAAGAGAAAAGGGGTGCCGACGAAGGGAGAGAGAAGGGGAGTTGGGGAAAGAGAGACCAAGAGGATTGAAGGAAGGGCAGGGCTGTAGAAAGAGAGGAAAGAAAGAGAAGGAAGAACTGACAAAAACAGAGAGAAGACAGGGGACCAGTGAAAACAATCAAGAGCTCTGAGCACTTCACAGAAGGAACCATTCTAGGTCCAGGAAAAGTTTTGCCAAAGGAGAATAAACTCTTCCAAAAGAAGATGTATAAGGATATACAAGACTCAGTGAAAAGTGGGGCTGCAGAGCCAAGAGTCCAGGATTTCTTGCTCAGATGTGTCATTGACTGGCTGTCCTTAACACCTGCCTGGGACTTTGAGAAACCATGACAGGAAATAACTACCCAAACATGGATGACAATCATCAATACTGTTTTAGCCCCCTAAAGTCAACATATTATCTTCACAATGCCTACTTCCTTGATCTTCTCAATTTCCATCTCCCTTGTATTCCCTAACAAGAAACACAATGATGGAATACAGCAGGCATAGCCATGGGGAACCTGCTGGCAGCCAGACAGTCCCCTTCCCAACCCTTTGGCAGACGCTGAAACTGACCTCAGTTGATCCCTGCTGATCTTCGCAATAACCTCGAAATCCTTCATATCTCAGGTCTTCCTTCGCACAGTCGCTAGGAACTGATCCGCACACTGCCTAAAAATGATACAATAAGTTTTTACTTTCTAGGTTTGGGAGACAACAGTCAGAAAAGTGTTTATTGTATAAGGAGGGCCTGACTTTGATGCCCTGAACCCACAAAACATACCAGATGGGATTTGCGTTTGTGATCCTGACACTGAAGAGGCAGAAGTCGATGGAACCCCGGGGATTGCTGCTCAGTTAGCCTAGCTGACTTAGCAAGTTCCAGGCCAGTGAGAGAGCCCGTCTCTCCATAAACAAATAAAATACAATCAAATCAACTTTTTTTAATTGAAGAAGACGGATACTGTTAAAAGAATGACACCCAAAACTTGTCCTCTGGGACAAGCATATTTCCCTCCATGCTTTCCCACAATGCTTTGCCTTCACTATGAATTACTCTTTCTTTTATTTCTGCCTTCCATTCCTGTCCAAGCCTTGACATTGCAACATGCCTTTGTCGTTTACACAATATCAGATAACACACAGTTGAATCTTTCAGACACACACATATACACCCTGCTTTTGTCTTTACTGTATTCCCCCCACAAAAAAAAAACTTGTTATTATTAGCAAAACTACTTACAGCTTAATTTTTAAAAATAAAACCTTTCTGCACCCAATAATCAAAGTGTCAGTCTCTTTAACTGAATACAGATGTCTTTGCTCATGTGACCGGCCAAACACTTTAGGTAATAACTTGTTTCTCTTCTCGTTGTATTTTCCCATTTCCGCAGCAAGTTCATTTGTCTCTCTTTGCCTCTGTATGTATGCATGTCTGCCAAACACGAAACTTTCTGGCTATGTTTTATCAAAAGTTTTAGTGGTTAGTATAATTTACAGTGTCCTGGCAGGTATGTCCTACCTGAGACCCACAGGCTTCATACAAAACGACTAGGAATGAAGCCCAAGACAAAACATAAACTAACTTACAGCACTACAGCTGTCGTTCTCCCATCCCCTCCCCTCCCCCCATGTGTGTGGTTGAGGGGAGGGGATGTGTCTCATTGTGTGATTCTACAGCAGGAAGTTGTAGATAACAATGGCGTGTCCACAATTTCCTAGTCTGAGCAAGACTGATAGGGGGAGTAAAAGAGAGGGGGAAAGTAATTCATCATGGAAACAAAGCATCATAGAGAAGCAATGAGGGGGGCTGGGTGGTCTAGAGCCAATCAAACCTCAAACTTCCAAAAAGAAACCCTACTGCCTCAGTCTTTCAAGTATTGGGATTACAAGCATGCACCTCCACACCCAGCTGCACTAAGAAACTTTTCATTGTGGCGAGATCAGTACATGATCTTACTCTGAGGATGATTTTGTGACAATTAACTTATCTCAAAGCTTATCAGGGCATAGATTACATGCACCTTATTATGTATCAATTATTCCCCTAAATAAAAACTAGGAATAAAATA